CTTATGAATAAAAATGTACATTGTGAAATATGGCATCGATTTATCCCGGTTGTAGAAGAGCAAGGGGTTGAAGACCATTAATCAAAACCTACGTTATCATTTTCTCCAAGCCATCGCTTTGCTCAGCTATACTCGTGTACTTTCAGATTGTCGTTAACGCATGAGAACACATCGTATCGACGAGCGCTTTTCTGAAAATACAAGTGCACACATTTGTTAGAATAGAAACGCGTCCTGTTTGTCGAGGAAATGTTGATGCCGACGAGAGTTTCACTGTTCTTGAGGGGAATTCGCCGACTCGAAAGTACAATGATCCCCGGCTACAGACACAATTGAAATCTGTGTCCTTAACCATTCCACCGGCGTAAAGGTCAACACGAACGGTCCGCCTCGTGATTAACGACCTTCTTACCTTCAAACGAGCAACGTCCATTCCAGTTACGTAAGCTCGTTGACGTTCGTTGACTAATTTTGTTAACGTCGATCGGCGAATAGAAGGGTGAGGCGGCGAGAAGATGAGAAACCGTGGCTCCGAAAGCCTTGAGACCGACACATTTGTTCCGGTTGCGCCTTTACGCTTCGATTCTACTGCGAATCGACAGCGAGGTATTCTTCTTCGATGTTTTCCAAAGTAGCACCGAATGTTTCGAGTACTCGAGACTTTTTTTCTCGTAAAGTTGCAATTCCACCATCGACTCCCAACGTTGGACAGATTCTCGACAGGATTAGTCGACTCTCGATTCTCGAAAGGCCGTCCACGACATCAGGGATTTCACGTCCGATAAGAGACGCGGACAACCGGATGTCTGGCAGATACGTAGATAAATCGCACGGGGATAAACGAAAGACAAGTGGAGTGACATGCATCTCGACTTTCCACGGACGTGGTAAAAATAGCTGCGCCGGCTGAAGTCCGTTTATGAGGGAATAAAATTTGCCGAACAAAGTTGTGCCATCGTACTCTCGTGGAAACGTACGATTTGTATCGTCTCAGGATTTCCTGCGAATTAAAAGACTTTCTCAGGACAAAGAAAAAATCCAGACCATCGAACGAACAATTCATTCGGCAAGGTCCGAATCCATTTCGTCTGCCACACTCTCTTAACGTCACGGTTTGGTGCCGAGCTTGTGATATACGCGGCGATACCGCACAATCTCGCGTGTATCATTACTAAATCGTTCATCCCGAACAGCTCTTTCCGACGCCACCTGTTCTCGATACTATAAATTACCCTCGTTAGCGTATGCTTTAATAAGGACACTCCCACGCGCGTATCGTCGAGGTTGAGAGTCCGTCGTTCGAAAGAAGTAGCAACGTTAACGCGAACGAAAGGGTACGTTCGAGTCGCGGTCCAGCAATTCGATCCGTGAATTCTTCTTCTGTCTGGACAGCCATCATCCTAGCAGCACTCGATGCCCACCATGGGAATAGTAATGGAAATGCATCCAGTATGCCCGACTCGTGGCATCGCGTACGGGAATTTTCTGCACGTGTCACGGTGCAAAACGTGATCTTGCTCAAGGCACGCCCTGCAATCGGGCGTCATAAATGAACGTGTGCTCACACGTTCGGTTCTGGTCGAGCACGTGCTGCAATGCGAGATTTATTTCTCTCTATAGATGGTGCGTATTTATTTCTCGTGCTGCGTTCGTTGTTGGGAATCATTATATAGCATTATTTGATTTCCACTTATTTTAAGATGAGGAAATCGTAGTTTGCATGCCATAAGACGCAGTGCATGTTATGAATAGTATAGCGTTACCAGATTGCACTGCCAGTTTTAACGCGTGGGCGTATCATATACTGCAGACTGGCCGTGATACGTCGATATAAATTCAGGTCACGTTAAAGTCATCAGAGATTTACTGATTATTCAGTAAAATCGCGAATTTTTATCCAACATTAATTACACACGAATAAAAATCCCTATTACTTGAAAAGAACATTTGTAGCCTTCCAAATCTTTCTTCTTTTGGAGAAGAAATCTTTCTTTTTTTGATTTCTTCGAAATTCCCAGCATGCCATCCTCAGAATTAAATGGTACGAGACGAACTCTGAAACGCGGAAGTCTACGCGACTTTCGATTCGCGAAGAAAGAACGGAACAGCGCGAATGAAAAAATCCCCGAACAATATTGTCATCGATTTCCTCGCAATGTCACGTTCGTACCGTGTTCAAACAATTGATCTCTGGCATCTGTCGTTGCGTCAACGAGACAATACAAAGGCACACGACTTCCATGGCGAGTCTCGCCGACGCCGACGACAAGAGATCCGTACACGTTCCTTATGACGCGAATACGTGCTCGAATCGCTTATTAGCGCACCGATCATCACGCTACGATTGTGTAGATCGATGCATCCGCGTAATAGATACATCTAATCGGTCACCAGCCACGTCGCAGAGCCGAAGTAACGCGACTATAATAAACGATCGCTTCCTGTACGCCACTTTAGCTAGAAGGTATCATCGGTGAAAGAGATGTGAGGTAAACTTGTAAAAGAAACACGACGCGAAGACGATAGCGTGTTTGATTGTCAGGAGTTGGGAATATATGATCGAATTCGGTATATTATTCATGTACTAGGTCGAGGCAGAATATGTTGGCCACTCGACAAGTAGACAAAAACCTTCCACCATAAACATATTTACATGTAGATTGTATTTTACATGAACCTGTGCGAAACTGATGTTATACCTTCGAGTATTCGTTACGCAAACATCGAAGCGTACGATCGCATGCATTAATCAGCAAACACGAACTAAATAAATCACCAAGAGTAGACTCGTTAGCACGTTGGCTCGTATGTGTACCACTTGGATTATGTAGGCTTACTTTCATTACACGCATCAGCATTTAACATTGAATTCAAATCGAATGAATGAGCAGAGGAAATCGAAGCGCTATTACGCCTTTAGATCAGTATGCCAGATAATGTTCCCGTACACGATTTCGAAACGCCTAATTCTGATCCGTATCAACAGCCACGGATTACTGTAAACGTTTAGAATATGTGTAATTAAACGAACCAACGTTAACATACAAGATTCGACCAAAAATAGATTAAAGGATAAGAACAGTATCGAAAGTCAAGATTGTTCAAGGATATACGGAGTTAAACATGGGTGTGCGCTGCGTCTTTTGGTATGACGCGACCTGACGCATACTACCATCGTTCTCTTCCATAATTAACGAAGCAAACTACGTATTAATGATTGCGCAATTGTCATTTATTGCGACTATTGCCATTGAAACAACAGGCAACGCGCGCGTCGTTGCGAGCAGCCGAATGGTGCGTAAAGTTTATCTATCGCGGGGCAGAGGTGTACGATTCGTAAATGCGTGCAGCAGGAGCACACTGTGACGAAAGGAGGCTGCACTTCACGGCTGGTTCGCATCGGTGCCAAGGTTGCGTTCGTACTGGTGCGCGGATTAACTGAACCAGCATTGAACGCTCTGGAGTCTCGCGTGATGCTTATACGCTGCGCTTATCGCATCGGTGCACGTGTACGTGCGTGCATAAGGTATAACGTACAAGTAGCCCTAAGTTCTGACAGAGGTCTAAACCGAGGAAATAGAGCCGATGAAATTACCGGAAAAAAGGTGGACTTGAACTGGTTCCAAGATTCCGAAGAGTTCATTTGCGACGCGATAACGTCAGCTGTTATCGGAATACGACTGCTCGAAATTACTGTAAATACAACGATGAGCACCAAGGCAAAACGCACGCGACGAACGTGAATCGTAACGATTGAGAATTTCCTATTAGTCGTCGAGGAGACGCTACAGGTAGCATAATAACGATATCCAATCAAATCGGAGGTAAAGAAGCGCGTTAGTTGGTTCGTTCGACTGGGTACGCGAAGTAAACCATATCTCGAAGGAAAATGACTCAGTGACTCCGATAATCGCTGACACGTTACCGTGAAAAGTTTAAACACGCTGTGCGTCTGCTTGCTCGACGCTGTTAAATGCACATAGGGTGAAGGTCGGCTATTGAAACTTGAATGGTGCAATTTGTGAGCGGAACGCATGCGCGCGCTCGTTATCAGTCGCGGCTTCAAAAGCAGCCCGCAAACTCGCGCCGCGAGAAGGTCACGCCAATGCGCTTCGTTATCTATGCCCCTACTACAATTTACGAGCCTTTTCGAGTCTTATCGCGTGCCCCTATTGCCGAGCAACACACCGCATGACGCGTTTCCAGCTTTACGGGCCTCTTGTACTTTTCCTCCTTTTTTTTTTTTTTTTCTTGTTTACGGAGTCACGTCAAGTCCCAGATGTAAACTCCACAGTGGTCGTTATAGAGATCCTTCTCTTTGTTCTTTTATTGACCATGTTCACACGCCGTGTAAAAGTCGCACGCAATTATTTCATAATAGCATCGAGACGTAATATATTCTATCAAATTTGAGGTTGAGGTGTTGCACATGTTCAGCCATCGCATAAGTTCTTTACCGTGTATTCAAGATAATACAAATAATCTGGACTGCTATCTTTTTTTACAAAGATTGTTTCGAATAGATAAGACCAAGCCTCGAAAATGGTGTTAACTGACTGTCTAGCACCGCTGTGCTAATCGTCATTCGCACGTTTCAACAGTCAGTCTCGTTTAGGCACCTTCGGGCGCTGAAATTCACAGCGTCGAGGCACTGTGACATCGATTTTAATCAGCAAGGACGCTCGCGAAAGCTATAATTGCGAATACACTCGTCGATGGATGCGATTATGCTGCATAATTTATTCAGTATCTTCGCAATGGTTATGCAACACGAAATACACCATTTCCATGTATCAATTAATACGGTATATTTCTATATTACAAAAATTAAGGGATCGAGTAATTAAAGAGTATCGCAAGAAACAGGGAGTGTCCATAATTTGAAAAATACTACGAACTCAAACTTTACTTTGATTTACTTTTACTTAATTTTTTTGTTAGAATCAACCTTGTTTTGGACATTCCCTATTTCGATTGAAACCTGTGTATAGAATACATACAAGTGTTTCCACGCGACCAATGTTGGGCCTGAGTCCCTTGGATGATGGCGGTGACCGACATCATCGGTTTCTCCTTTTTCATCATCTTGGACGTCTTGATCTTCCTGGTTTGGCTCGTCACTTTTACTGTTTCCTTCCTGAATCTTGATCAACTAGGTACTTTCAAGCGAACCACAAGCGACACTCTCGTTGCGTCATTTCGGAAACCGAGAAACGACACGCGTGCTGCTCTTTCTTCCCCTAAACTGTTCTACGTTCCGTCTTTTGGTATCGATTTGGTTTCGTTCACTGCACTCTTTGGTTGTTGCACGCTTAACACTCGACAAATCTATGAGGAGTAACAGGGAGGTAATTAAAGGTGCGAGGTGACGCTCATCCTGATCGTTCCACGTCAAGTAAAACACTTTTAACTCTTCGGGATACGCGATACCACTCAAAAAAGTGTCCTACTTGGTACGAAACGATCACCGTGATTATGAATTAATCCACGATTAAAGCACGATGGATGTAATACGTGGCGAATTAGTTGTAGATTTAAACGGAGCTTGGCAATTTTTATTGCGAATTAAATTGCGAAACGATCAACGCGCATTCGCCTTGAACCGCGACATCCTTTCCTCGCTGCTTCTCGCTGCCGTGTTCTTTTCCGAGTGAGTTTATTGCTCGCGAAAAATTAACGACCTACGAAGAGAATGTACATCGTCCAGAGATAAACAGAGCTACTCGTTAATCCGAGACGGATTGAATTTCAGGCTTTCGATCGCCATTAGTAAATGTCTATAAAGCCGTTGATAAACTATGCGGTATCGGGGAAAGTGCTGATGCTTATGGATGAGCTCGATAAAAAAACGAACGATACTCGAACGAAAACGAAAAGTTGTGAAGCGTTTCGCGAAGGAAAAAGGGACAAGAGAACGCTCGCGTACGCGACATCGGCGAGATCAAACGAATTTCACGACGAACTTTGTCGTAGACAGCAATACTTAATGGTTTTTACAGGTTCGAGGCCTGCAGAAGAAAAGTCCCGAGTTATCTCTGGAGAGCTCTGGTCGGCCTGCTAAAAATTCGTGGGAGAAAACGCGGATTGTCCCCGGAGGACCGCCGAGTTATCGAGAGCAGACTTGAAGACGAATGTGCTAGCTTTAGCTTAGTTGACAGCTCCGGGGAACGTTTCTTAAAACGAATCTACCGAATAGACAAAAAAGGTAGGATTGATCACCGAGAATACTCGTTAACGCAACTGTCAAGGGAAATAATTCGAGTCCAGAACCGATTTATTTCAAGTATACCGCTGCGAACAATTGGCAAACGATTCGTTTAACGCGCTTGAAATTAGAGATATTTTGTCCACGACTATTTCGTCTATCCCAATAATTTCCTGGTGTGGAGGAAACTGCAAGTAACCAGAATTCCCGTAGTCGGTGTTGCGGAGCGGCGACCTTGACCACAACATGTAGGCAGAAAATGCGATTGTCTTGCCACGGCGGCGACAATCGTCGCGACAGAGAAACAATGCTTACGTAACGCGAGCAATTATGCAAAATGCAAGTATGTCCATGTGCATGTACCAGTCGCGGTGCATCTCCTATTCTTCTGGCGTCGCATGTATCCGCCTAACGACCGCTCGCAATGGCAGACGCGGTAATACTCGTCCAACCGTGGCGCGAAACCCGTCTATTGTTACGTAAACCCTTTCTACACGGGAAAAGAATGTTGTGCGCGTCGCGAGACCTCGAACAACGTTCCTCTTTTTCGTTTCCTCCTTCCACCTGATGGACTCCGTCAGGCATCGATCATTAAACTGGACGACCAAACCGGACGACACATTTCTAATGGCAATCGCTGCTGTCGAGGTTGAAGTTCAAGGTTAATCCCGAAGAGGCTGCGTCAGGCCCTGTCTATGTCTATCGAGAAAGACGAATCGATATATACCGGGTGCACGGCAAGCACGGCCAAGACTGTCGGACGACAGCTGTTTCGGTTCGCGACTTTCACGCGATTTGTGCCAAGAAACTCTTGTCTATTTATTTCTAACGAGCCGCAAAAGTTTCGGAGGATCGATTCTTTTTTGTCAACAACTCGAACAAGTTTGAATTTGGTAATAGAAAATTATGTGTCGACGATTTTACGTTGCATATCGACGATACCAAACAGTGAAATTTAACTTGGGTGTCCGATGAGGTGATTTGAAAAATTGTGCGACATCAAAGTATAGCGTGACTTATCCGCCACACCCGTCTTTAAAGGGTTAACGATAGTCGGTACGGCGCATCTATTACGAAACGACTGATAGCGAATAGCAAACGCGAAGACAACAGCTTGCTTCGATTCATCTTTTAAAGAGATGCCGCATAAATATAAAGGAAAGTTTCGCACTCGTGATTCATTTATTTCAAAACGATTGAACTCGATATGTTATTGTCATCTGCGGTCTGAAAGTTAATCGATAATGCGCGCTTCACCCGTTATTCGCCTCACGTGTTGGGATGTGTAAGCTATTCTCTCGTGGCCTCCAAGTACTGCGCAGGCAGACACAACGTAGACTGAATTTGGCAAACCATTAGCAGACGCTACAACGACTACGTATGTACTCGTCGAATATCTCTCAAATGTGCCGTAAGGAAATTGGGAACGATCGAGAACATTATTCGCCAAAGTTGTCATACCTTCGAGATGAAACAAGAATTATGTATGCATGTGTTTCAGCAGAACTAATAACAAAAATTATCACTGCCATTATGCAGCCACTGCAGAGGTCAGACGAGACCTTAATGCTGCGTAGAAGATTCAAGAGAGAGAAGGGTGGACGATCCAAACTGCGCACTGTTGCAGTTAGGGGACGATGATTCACGAACCAACGTAGTACCCGTGTATAAATATACGAACATTATTTATTGCAACATTTATTTTTGACCGATACTTGGACGATATCCTCCAAGTAAAATGTTGAATTATCTACATCGACTACTCCATTAAAACTTTAATCAAAATAAATTTTATTGACACCATATTTCGAAGGCTTGACGTATTATTTCGGCGTACCGAATCGCCATCGTCGACGATTAATTTCTGTAATTCGAGGAATCCGAGGAAAAATTTCTCGAGATCAAGCAAGAGTTTACTTGGCACGTGTGCGACGACACGCGTAATATTCGGAACGTGCTCACGTTTGATTACGACACTTGACAATATACTTTGCGCTATCGATAACGTTTGTAGCATCTATCGATAGTTTTGGCGTCTCGCGCGCTCGGTCTTTGGCACCGCAAACAAAATGCAAATCATTTGTGACGTCACTCGCAACGCACCGCAAAAGTCTTGCATAAAATTTGCTTTTTCTCGTTCGACTAGTACCACAATCGATTCGAAACCGAGTCTTGTTTTCATTTAAAAAAAAAAAAAAAAAAAAAAAAAGAGCCATCCGTCAAAATGACCACTGATTGTATTACCACCGACCGAAATGTACTTTCTCGCCTGCGGATGCTGTCGACAACTACGAATCGGAGATGTTATAGTCGTAAATGTAATCAAGGTTGTGTCCCTAAAAGAATTTTATTCGCACTTGAGCATTCCAAGCATAGCGAACCACAACAAGACGCGTACACAACATTCTTTCTTTACCGATTCGCGCAAGTCGGTTTACTTTGTTACGACGGACAGCTCAGAAATGAACAAAATACTCATCTGCAGATAGCTTACGGTCGAAAACGTTTTTCTAGATGCACGTGAAACATAGTTGTACCAAGGATCGACGAATGCACGCAATCCTTACGGTCGTCCGCTTCCGAACTGCACACTTAAGATTCAGCACGACAAACAAACACGCGAACTTTCCGTCCTGGCATTGAACTTCACTGTTGCACACTTTACATGCCGGCGCAAAGCCGAATTTCCCGCCGAGGAAAAAGGGAACGCGATAACCACTTTCCTATCGACAATTAGAATTCCAAAAATAATTCTTTCGCCGTGGCACGCGTGAACGAAATACCATTCGAATTGAATCACTAGCAGCACGCTCGTGCGGAAGCGACAAAGCCAAGTGCGTTTCGCGATCGAGTGTTCCCTTCGAGAAAGACACACAGTTTGCACCTTGCTGCAACTACGGGGACCATTTGCTACGCACTGGATTTTCCTCTTCGGTATCGTACTTACGCACATGTCGCGTATATACTTCGAATAAAGCTCGATTCGAGAGAGCAGGTTAGTTAACCGTAGAACAGAGCAGCGAGCGAGCGAGGCAAGATAACGCACGCGACGAGATCACGTTTTTCTTTCCCGACAAGCGTTGCACACGTGCCGTCAATGAAGAAGCACGCGGCCACCACACTCGACACGACCGAATGACCCGCGACGCGAATAAATCTTAAGAGACAGTCGCGATGAAACAGTGAGAAAAGAAGAGACGGGGAGATATGGAGAGGAACAGAGGCGAGAGTAAAGTGATTACGGAGGCGATACCTCGCACGCGTACCGTCGATCCGACTCACTGACTCAATGACTCAATGACTGACTGACTGACTCGGAGATGCACGGCGCTAAAGGCAACTGAGTGCCAGCCGGCCGGTCCGACCCGATGCATGTGAGCGTGCAGCCGGCGGGGAAACGAGGTGGGGGCAGGGACGACGGAAGAAGGGAGATAGGGGAAAGAGGAGACGGAGGGGAGGGAGGCGACAGAGGATCAAGAGGAGGTGAAGGACGAGGAGGAGTCGATGGAGGACGAAAAGCTGGCGGCAAATCACGGGGAGGAGAAGAGGGAAAACTCGGGACGGAAGAAGTGCAACCGAGTCCCTGGCTGACGAGTAACGTTCAGCCTCTACTTGCACTTTTCTTCGCAGAGAAATGCGAGCGCATTGGAGTTGAACGATGGTAATTTAATCCCTTCGATGATAATTTGCGTATCGAAAGTACATTTGCCATTGGTAACTGGAACACCGTTTCATAGATCACAATGAAATTATTTCTTTGCAAATGATTTCTCAAAATGTAATAAAGCCACAATTTTTATAGAAAAGCATCCTCGACGGCAGCATCGATGCTCGCGAAATATAGGTCAGAGATTCGTTCGTATAAAAGCGGGTACGGAAGAAAGTTTCGGACCGTTCGAAAGCGATCCAAACTTTCCGTTCGATTCGCCGAAGGTATCGCGGCCTAAGTTGTTCATGATCGATAAAAACATGTAACACTCGGATGACAGAAACGTAACCACACCGCTCGAGGTCTCCGTGTGAGGTTTATCGGAAGGAAGAGAGGTTAAAATGACAGAGAAAGGTAACGAGAAAGAGAACTCTATCAGAAACGCGCAAAAGAGCAAGTGAGAGACGCGGATAGAGCTTGCGCCGTCACTATCACAAGCTTAGAAGTCAAGTTCTAGTGCACGGCCGAAACGGGAGAATCGACCTCCCCTCCACGATCCCCTCCACGTTACATTGTGGCTCGTCCAATGGCACAAGGGTGAGGGAAATCGTCTAAGGCAAAGGGGGAGGGAGTGCCTTGCAATGTCGAGCGTGCGCGGCGAGCCTTGCATGGGGATTCTACCAGGTGACCGAAATATACACCTCCAGTACCGGGCATGTAACAACGGATCTGATAAGAGAAATAAGCCGCCGCTAGTCACCTCCAACAAAGATTTACGTCTCGTTACGAGCGTGCCGAGCACTGGGATGCTAAATCAGATACAAGTTTCCGTAAAGATACGTTAAAACATTTCGAGACGGAGTGATCGTAAACGAACAAAACCCGAACAGTCGCGTCAAACGATTATAATTAACGATTACTCAGGCTTTTAACACTGCACTCAAAGGCGCGTATAAATTAACAACGCGTCTATAGATCGCTGCCGGAGATGATCGGGTCGGGAAAAATCGTTTCCCTTTTGTATATCGCGTGTCGATAAGGCTTGTTTGCAGTAGTCCAATACAGCGGCAGTTGCATAAATATTCGTCTTCTGTTTCCCTTACTCCATTCGAAAAAATTATCCTTGCAACGCCCTTACGCGGAACAGAAGACATCCACGAAGAGCCTGCAGGCCGCACCTGTTCCGATATCTTTGATCCCCTCGCGCCACGCCAACATCCTAGACACACCCGTCGTCCTTGCTGCAACAGCTCCGTTTTAAGGAAGTTTGCCAGTATTTTTTTTCTTCTTTTGGAGTACTCTGCTTAACCCGCGCGATATTTGGCCCACATGTTGGGTACCAATACAAACGATCGAACGATCCATACATATCCGAGAACGTCGCGTGTCGAGTTAGCCTGCGGGTCCGCGTACGAGCTTGTTCCGCAGATGAGTGTGCGTCTACGAGCGTGTGGATCGTGTAAGTGGTCGTCAAGGTTAGCCACCTACTCGCTATCGCGAGCTCGTGCACACTCTCCCGGTGCATTCGAGTCGTCTTGCCAGCCTTAAAGTTTATTATACGCTCGCGGAGAATCGAGGAAACGAACCTCCTGGACGCTGGCTCGCGTCTTACGCTTCTCAGGCGTGGCATTCTGCGGCTTCGCCTACCCTTTATTTCACGTTTCATGCATCTGGTGCGTTGTGTAACGTTACCGTTCACAAATATTTGCCCACCTTTTTTTTCCTCGCAATTTTAACAGCAATGGTAGATAAAGAAGAGATAGAGTTGCTCGCGTAGATTAGTACTAGGATATTTCAAATTCACGTCTACAAGACCGTCGGACCCGTAGATTTTGTAGAGACAGCACTGTTTTAATCGGTAAACGACAGAGGCTATAACGTGGAATCAAACCGCTAATAAGTATGCACGCTAACAACGTATGTTATATTAAATGCATAGGAAGAGGTCAGAGCAACAGTATCCTTGTTCGTTTTTGCGAACAGGTGAGTAGGACGAGAAAAGGTTAACAGGACTCTGCAATATTCCGTTTACATTCTTCGTCGGAACTGGTTTCTCCCTCGTTCCGCCGTCAGGGATGCTGTATGGTCCTTTGGACCCTAGGAACATTGCCAAACGTACGAGAAAAATCAACATTAAAATTCAAGCGTCTTCTCTCGCGTATACGGACCTCTTTTTAGAGCGATACGTCCAAGTTTTAACCACATTATTTATAATCACTTGCACATCTCTAGTTTGAAATTTCTACATAAAGAATCCGATGATACAGTAGACTATCTAAACAGTGTTGTTACGTAAGAATTACATCACCGAAGATTTTTTTCTTCCGTGCATAATAAATGCGAGAGTGACGGTAGATGCAATAAACTGTTTTTAGTTTATGTGTTAAAAGTATCGTAAAGCTTCACTTCTCTCGATGTTGCATCAATCATGGCAGGATTACACAAAAGATATAAATTACGGTATATGACATCGTCTCGAGCATACCAAGACGTAAATGTTATTTCCGCTGTAATAACCATGATTTACACGGTATGTGCTTCACGTTTGAATGATTTTTACGTGCTGTGCAAAACACAGCAATTCCACTAGCCAGTGAACAATGCAATCAGAGTTAGCCAGATGCAAATGATTTCAAGGTGGGTAAAACCAAAGGTGACCGTCCCTCTCGACTGTATCTGTGGCCAAAAATGTTACACCGAGTATCTAAAGGAAGGAAAGATAATAATAACACGTCCGTTCGATTAAGACGCGACGGAAACGTTGCGTTTGAAAGCAAAGGAAGTCGAGGCGAGAGGGAAAAAAAAAGTCTCGAGCAGAGCAGAAGAAAGCAGCGGTGCAGCAGCTGTTTCGGCTGGTTCGGTTGCACAATGCAGAATTCGGGTTCTAATTCTAAAGCGAGTACCAATCAGGCCCAGCATTGTTCACCCATAAAAGCTCGTCATTTTTCAGGGTTAATCGTTCCTTGAAACCTAATAAGCTGTTGGACGTCTTACCCGACAAATTTCTCGGAAGACTCTGAATCTTTCTGAGATACTTTGTGCTAACTGTTCTATCGCGACTATTTCGTGTTCGAAACATTGAGAGCGGTCATTCAACGCGAGAGTTATTTTGGAGGTTTTAAATATGTCGAAATATTGGTCATTCACTTCGCGAAGACGAAAATGCGGATAGTAGGCGTCAAAGGTAATGGCACGAAGTCGCTGACGCGACGATGGACGCTGGGTGCATGATCGGTCACGCTAATGCGACTACACGTACGCTTATCTCGCTATAAATAATGCTCGTTCACGAGGAACGAGAGGAAGGATGATCAATCAGGTGTAGGTGGAAAGGAACGCTCCGAGACAAGGTGGGAGAATGAGAGAATTGTCAAGGACAACGTACGTGACCACCGCATTGCGACGGAAGATTCTGCCACGATCCTGAAACTCTACGTCCGTGAAATAAAGTCATGTTCAGAGGTGGACGTATATGTATAAATAGTTCGATCACCCGATACGCTTGAGACCGATTCAGAATTCGCATTTTAGACGACGAGGTGCAATGTGCCAACCTCGAATCGCGGAATATACATTCTCAAGGCATTGCATGTAATCTTAGACATGTTTATGAGCTTCTCAAATTTTTCATTGCTTTACACTACTCTCTCTCTTGTCACGTTTCGGTCATTAACGACAAAGGCTTCAAAAAATTAATTTCTAGTGCATCCTTCCTTCTACCTTAATATTCTCTCTTCAGGGGATACCGTAGGAATCGAAAGAGAAACTTTAAAGAACGTGATTCCCTTTTTTTAAATTTATATCTTCGGAACACTCCCTTAAGACCATGAGAAAAACCTTGACCAAGTTAAGGATAACCGCGTTAAGTTCTCCGCTCTCTCGTAAGGTAATCAACCGAAGAAAGTGCTTAACGGAAAGCAAATTATTGTTTGTTCTTACGTTAAGCAGGTGTGGCGGGAAGGTATAAAAATATAAAGCAGCGTTGCTTAACACATTCGAGCTCGTTCACCGAGCGATACGGGTCCTTTTGTATGCAAACGATGCTTGTTAACAATTGTTGCGTCTATTTGCGTCCAAATAACTGGATGCGATCGTTAATTGCGCGATGTATTTCTTATTGTAGACGGATAACGAGGTTTCTCGTTTAAATCGGATATCATAAGAAATTAATTGATATGTTACAAACATCGATAAGAACTTACATGGTAAAACGGCAGAGTTTTCGTAACGAAGACGCGCAGGATACACATCGAACAAGTATACCAAGTAACTCACCTACAACAAAAATAAAAATACAGTTAGTATCTTAGCTTAATAACACATGTAACGAGTTTATTTGCGGCGTTTTTCTATTTTTTCCACGGGAACAGTTTTTGAATTTTACTGGAAAACCCGCACTTGACCCAATTTCGATTACATTTAATACCCAATGGTCTCGCGAAGCTTTCCCTCGGCTAGAAAAGCGTCGTGGCACGAATCGCGTTTCAGTTTGAAATTGCACCGACAACCTTGACATTCCCACGAGATCGGTAAATGGAACCCCGTCACGTAAAGTGTACTTCCATTGACCTTGTAACAGGAAATCGCTCAGCGGATTTCCCGAACAAGGCTATAAAGTTCGTTAGCTGCTAAATATACATCGTTTTGCAGCGATAATTATAAAACATACGCAAACGTACGTTTCAGCAAAAATTATACCTTGAATAAAAACGAAAGGAAACAAATTTCAGGCGAGTGGGTTATCATTTTATGTCATCCAG